TTCCTGCCTCGGCTTAGTTTTGAACTGCATGAGGATTGCAGTTTAAAGTTAGGTAGGAGGGACTGGGAAGGTGGCTCAGTGGTAGAGTGATTGCCTTGCATGCATGAGGCCCTGGGTTCGATTCCTCAGCACCACATAAGCAAAAAGAAAAAAAAAAAGTTAGGTAGGAAAGTCTGTGAAACTCTTCAATTAATCACCAAATGCCAGAAGTGGAGCCATGTCTCAAGTGGCAGAATAGCTGCCTTGAGTGAAAAAAGCAAAGGGACAGTGCTCTGACCCTGAGTTCAAGCCCCAGTACTGGTACCCCCAAAAAAAGTGTCAGCTCTCCCTTCAAGGTTCTGGAACACAGACTGATCATCTTTGGGTCTCCTTTTAGAGAGAGGAGAAAGGAAAGTTATTAGTGATAACAGCAATCTTACTGATCTGGTGGGTGGGAATTCAAGCTGAATTTAATTTGATTTAGACTGAGTAAGAGATGAGTAAGAGATGTATTGACGTCATTTTGTTTGAGGAGTGTCCAGTGGGTCCAGACTCTGGACAGAGGGTGAGCAGGGAGTGGGAACTGACATCTGGCTCTCCCCTCACCCTGCACCCTGCGGCTGGAACACAGTAGACACAGAGCTACCACGTGACACCACTTGGCCTTCACAGATGAGCACAAGGACATCCCTCCCTGCCAGGCCCAGGAGCAGGGCAGCAGGGCAGCCCCACATGGACCCCTGTGTTCAGAGTTTGGCAATCTGGACACAGCCTTGGCTCTGTTCCTTTATGAGTTATCGAGCTCTCCTAAACCTGGCCACCTGAGGTTCTCCTCATATGGCTTAGGGCCCTGGGCTTCTGGCTTCATTTCCCTGGGCTTTCATGCTGAGACTGGAATAGGTGGCTCACAGCATTCTCCTGTTGATTGCACACACCCTTTGGCACATGGGAACTGAAAGATGGGTGACCAGTGGGTTAGAGACCAATGGATTGAAATTCTGAGACCCCAGAATGTAATCCTGCAGTGCTTAAAGTAAGAGTCTGGTTGGTACAACACCAAGCAGGTCTGACGGCTTTAGCCACGGAAATACAGGGGTCCTGGTCCTGCCTCCTTACCTGGCAGATGTGGGACTCACTAGGCTGGGGAGCATTGAGCAGAGAAAAAGGACTGCTAGAACTTCAGATTAAGCAGGCACATGGGACAGAAGATTTAAGTCCCTCTTTCAGCACATGCCAGCCAGGCCTACAGAAGACTAAGGTTCAGACAAGCTGCAAGGCTTGGTCAGGGAGTTCTTTCTTCTCCTAGTCATTCATGCCTGATTGTCCCTTGAACACAAAAGAGGTGAAATCTGTCTGTTCATTCCCTCAGCAATAATGTATCCTGCACCTATCAGGAGTCAGACCCTGCTGCTGGCCACTGGGAAGTGGCAGGTGGTTGAGGCAGATTTGTTCCTCATTTTCAAGGAACCTACAGTTCCTCTATAGACAGAAGAAATAGATACAGATTAATGACATCCAGACTTAAAGCTCCAGTGGGCAAGTCTCTAACCCAGTTAATTCAGAGATAAAGATGGCTTCTTAGAGGAAGCAATGGGGCCTTTTGTTTGTTGTACCAGTATAGGGGCTTGAACTCAGGGCCTCAGGTTGTTACTTGGCTTTGGTTAATTGGAGATAAGTCTCGCTAACTATTTGGGGCTGGCTTCAAACCTTGATCCTCAGATCCTAGCCTCTTGAGTAGTTAGGGTAATAGGTGTAAACCACTGGCACCTGACAGCAATGGTTCCTTCCTTCCTTCCTTCCTTCCTTCCTTCCTCCCTTCCTCCCTTCCTTCCTTCCTTCCTTCCTTCCTTCCTTCCTTCCTTCCTTCCTTCCTTCCTCCCTCCCTCCCTTTCTCCCTTTCTTTCTTCTTTCTTTCTTTCTTTCTTTCTGCCAAGGCTTGAACTCAGGGCCTGAGCACTGTCCCTGAGCTCTTTTGCTCATTTTGAGCCACAGCTCCACATCCAGTTTTCAGGTGGTAAACTGGAGATAAGAGTCTCATACACTTTCCTGCCTGGGCTGGCTTTGAATTGTGATCCTAAGAACTCAACTTCCTAAGTAGCTAGGATTACACAGGGCAAGAGCCACCAGCACCCAGTTAGCAATGGTTCTGAATAGGTATGTATTGGCTCAAGGGTACTGAAACCTAATCCAGGTAGGTAGAGCAAATTTCAAGGGATATCCTTGTACAACTATATGCAAAAGATTTTGCTTTTTTTTTTTTTTTTTCAGCACTGGAGTTTTTACTCAGAGCCTGTCACTTTCTAGGCAGTCATTCTACAGCTTGAAGTCATGTCTTGTTGTTGTTTTTTTTTTTTTTTTTTTTTTGGTCCAGTCATGGGGCCTGAACTCTGGGCCTGGGCGCTGTCCCTCTGATCTTCAGCTCAAGGCTAGCGCTCTACCACTTGAGCCACAGAGCCACTTCCGGCTTTTTTCTTTTTTTTTTTTTTTGCTTATGTGATGCTGAGGAATCGAACCCAGGGCCTCAGGCATGCAAGGCAAGTGCTCTACCACTGAGCCACCTTCCCAGCCCCGAAGTCATGTCTTTAGACCTTTTTGCTCTGTTATCTTTGAAATAAGGTCTCACCTTTGCCCCCAGGCAAGCTTGGCCTGCAGTGCTCCCATTTATGCTTTCTACTATACCATGCACAGTCTTTTCTGTTGAAATGGCATCTTATGAGGGTTTGTTTTTGTTTTGCCCAGGTTGGTCTGGAACCTCAGTCATCCTGATCTTAGTCTCCTATGTAGCTAACAGGCATGAGCCACCAATTCCTGGGTGTGCATGAGATTTTAAGACCACTTTAGTATTGTATGATCCCTCTCTCTCTCTCTCTCCTTCTTTCTATCTATGTTGTCCCTCAAGGAGATATATGGTCTATAGCCTCATTCTATTCCTGAAAGTTTTTGGGACTGATGACTGATTGGGGAGAATGCTGAGAAAAAGTCTGCATTTCTGGCCCAGTGACAGAGGATGAAGGGGAGCAGACTTGAGTGGGAAAGCTGAGACTTGTTTACCTAAGAGATATCCAGGAAGTGGTATGGAGACAGCTCTTCAAATATGGATGTGGATCTCAGAAGAGAGATTTGGAAGTCATTGGCACATGATTGATAGTGGCTGAGATGGTGGCTCAGAAAGCAGAGAAGGGAAAGAAAGCCTAGGATGGAGCCATGGAAGTGAAGAGATGGTAAAGGAATTGGGAAAAAATAGCCCATGGGAAGTGCTTAGGCCAGTGAAGACTAGTGTCTTCATAAGTTCACCAACCAACATGTATAATTGCTGCAAAGTACACTTTTTTTAAGTGAGGGGAGAAGGGAAAGCGAAACCCTCAAAGTTCTGGAAAAAAACACACAAAATAATGTCTAAAGATACAAAAAAAATTCTAACAGTCCCTCTAGCAAACCAAAATTACCTCTGAGTGAGAAACCACTGACTGGAAGTATTCATTTTTTATCTGTTTGTCATCTAGGCCAAATTGTTTGCCCAGAATCACTGGAGCCAGCCCCATCCCTTTCTCGCACACGAGGGGGCGCACACGCACTGTTTCTGAATCCAAATCCAGGACAAAAGCAGGCAGTGAATTAGGCAGAATTTGAGCCCTCAATCCAGGCCTCTCTAAACTCAAAGCAACACAATGTGTGCCCTACACATTCTCAAATGGGTATGGGTTTCTCAACAATCCCAACATCATGTTTATTTCTCTCTGCACTCCAAACTCACAGGACAATCAGAGAGACACCCACAGAAGATAAGGAACCTTACAAAGGGTCTCACCTGATCCAGGGCAAGTGGAGGTAATCCCCTGAACTTCATGGTGAAGCCTAGCAAGAACTGAGGTAGGGTGGAGGACAGGAAGAGCTTTGTGTGACTGGCTGATGCATGGACTGGAGGGGGACAGGCGAGTCTAAAAGCTTTAATGCCAAGGCTGGTTCTTGGAGTATTAGGACCTAGAATAAATCTTTAGGTAGGCTATTGGTTTAGTCCAGAAAAATTTATGAGTCAGCATTCAAGTTTGGTTTGAGAAGTCGTAAACTCAGTGCCAAGGTTTATATCAGGTCTGAGGCATTATCAAATCTTGAATTAAGGAGCAGTTCTCTTGGAATTGGTGTAATATTGAGCATTGACCAAGAACTAAGAAGTGGAATGTGGGGATGAAGGAAGCCTGTTAGGGGGTCTCTGCAAAGCCAATCCTCTCAGGTCCCAAGATTACTTTTAGAGTTGGGTAAGGTGTGCTAAATGGTCGAAGGGTGGGATTTGAGGTTAGTGTCTGCAATGGGGCCTTTTCTGATTATCTAGTCTCCATTCTGTCATTAAAACTGAGCATCCTAATTAGGAAGTGTGTTGGTGTTGACCTGGGAATGGGAGTGTGGTATCAGGGTTTTGCTTAAGACTTGGGGTTCATAAGATATTATTGGGGTTCAGAGCAAGATAGCTACTGCACTTTGGGGTTTACTTAGGGGCAGGGTCTTGGCATTAGTACTGGAGTCCATCCAGAGTCTAGGGTTGATCCATCACTTCTCAAGCTTTGGGGCAGGTGGAAATAAATGAAGGCATTACTTAGAATTAGAGGCCCATAAAGTGTCCAGAGGTTCAGATTAAAATTATTCGTGCTCATTTCAGGACCAATTTAGGAGTCTGGACTCAATACTGAGTTTAAGGGTGGGTCTGAGCTACGTCTCAGGCTTGGATCTAAATGGATATAGAAATGGGGGTCCTAGTACTACAATGAGTTCACGTTAGGATTGAGAGTCACTAGAAAGATCTAGACTTCCGATTGGAGTTTGGGGCTGTGCCTGCTCAAGACTGGGGTTCGGGCTCCACGCTGGCGCTGCAGTGGGGATTAGGCTCGGGCTTGGGTTGTGGCCTCGCTGGGCCTGCGCGGCTCCGCGGCTTTCCGAGTGAGCGAGCGAGCGAGCGAGAGTGCACGAGGGGAGGGGCGGCGCGGGCGCGCGCACGGCAGGGGCAGGGGCGCGGGCGCGAGCGCGGACGCGCGGCTGGAGCTGGCGCGGGAGCGGCGGGAGCGGTGGCGGCGGCGGCAGCAGAGGCGGCGGCTCCGGCTCCAGCACCGGCTCCGGCTCCGGCTCCGGCCCGGGCGGTGGTGGCGGGAGCGGGACCAGGTGGTGGTGGTGGCGGCGGCCGAGGAGCCAGGAGAGGCGGCCTCGGCGGCTTGTGGGGGGACATGCGGACCGACGGCCCCTGGATAGGCGGTGAGTGACCCCCAGGGCCCCCCTCAGGTCCTCTCCGCGCCAGTTCCTAGCCCACCCTCCTAGCCTCGCCCCCTCCCCCGTGTGCGCCGGGGGAGACGGTCCTGGCGGGGGTCTGGTGGGGGGGCGACGCGAAGGCCGGGCCGCGCCCCCACCTGCCGCGCCCGCAGTCTCGGCTCGGCCCCCCCCCAGCCCCCGCGCCCGGCGGCTCCTCCCCGCGTTTACCCCGCGGCAGACGCCCCCCCCAGCCCCCCACCGGCGCCGCGGCCCGCGAGCTCCCCGCTGCCCCTCTCCTCCCTCCCTCCCGCCGCACCTGAGCCGCAGCCCGCGCCCCTGGTGCAAAGTTTCCCCTTGCCTGTGTGCGCCCCCTCCCCGGCCCGGCCTCCCCCACCCCCACCCCACCCCGCTCCCCACCTTCCGGCGCGGACGCGCTTCGGGGGCGGCTCTCAGCCTCCCACCACCACCCCCAGCTCCGGGCGGGTCCAGGCCGCGCCCCCACCCCCGCCGCACCGGCGCCCCCGCCCAGCCGGCGGGGGAGCCGCAGCCGGCGCGCCCCCATCTCGCTCGCGGGCCCCGGCGCACGTGCGGTCCCGGGATGCGCCGGGTGCGAGTTTGGGGCCCCCTCTCCGCCCCCCCGCCCCCCCCCGCTGGGTGACGGGCGCGGATTGGGGAGGGGCCGGAGCGGGCGGCGCCCCCCACCCCACCCCCACCCCCCCACCCCCGCTCGTTGCAACGCTCCGTCCCGTGAGGACGTGTCCACTCGGACCCGCTCCGAAAGTTCACTCCGTCGCCGCCCCTTGTCCCGTCCCGTGCCAGGTCCCCAGTTGCTGCGCCCCGTCTTAATCTCGGTGGCATTATTTCCCTACGTGTCTCTATGTCTCCCAGTGTCACTGCCTTCCTATCTCACCCCCTGCAATCCCAGAGTCTCTCTCCAGCTGTCTCCCTTCTCCCTCCGGGGTCTCTCCCTTCTCTCTCGGTCCCTGTGTTCTCTCCCTGCCCTGTTCTCTCTGCCCCGTTGCGTTCTCTCTGCTTAGGTCTCCCTCCCTGGGTCTCTCTGTGCTAGTGTCTCTGTACCCCCTCTGGTAGGCCCCTTCCCCCACTTCTCTGGAATGCTGCCCCTCTGGTTCCTCCACTCTGGGGGGAGGGGGAGGGGCTAGCCCGTCTCCCCACTTCAACCTCCCCTGCGGGGCCCCAAAGTTGGAATGGGGGGAGGGGATAGGAGTGGGAGCAGCTGCAGGACCTGCCTGAACTGTGAAATGGGCCACAGTGATGCCCCTGGGGGAGGACCAGGGAGGCTGGACTGCCAAACGTTGGTGACTGAGGCCCCACTTTGGGGACGAATTCTGAGTGATGGAGTGCTGGCTCTGGCTGGAGAATCCAGGGAAGTGTAGTGCACTGAGGTGGGAGGCCTGGAAAAGGGTATGGGGTAGCCCTTCCAAGAAGGGATCCTGTCAGGGATCTGATAGCGTCCAGAGGAGAGTTCTGACAGGAAATACAAGGAAATTCTGTTTGGCTTCTTAGAAACTCTTGCTTCAGGGAGCATGAAAATCCCTTTTTTCCTGATTATATGAATGAGCCCAGGGCTTCCTTGAGTACAGCCTCTGTATTTCAGCTGGGCCTCAGGCCACACACCACGCACCTGCATACTTCTCCTTTCCCACCTGCCTTCCCAATCTCATACCCTCATACACGCTCCACATTCCCTTCCTTCTTGTCCTTGCCTGCTCTTACCTTCATGCCAACCAGGGCTCAGAAATCCGCTGTGCTTGCACACTTACAGCACACCTGTGTACATGCATACTCAGTCCTGTGCCTTCTGGTACATGCACTTCTGTGCATAGTTTTGCTTGTTTAATTTCTCTTTTATCACTTGAAATGTCTTTGTGTCTTTTCCAATTGCTCCCTCCCCTTTTTTTTTTAAACTGGTCCTGGGGCTTGAACTTAGTGCCTGGGTGCTGTCCTTGGGCTGCTTTTGTTTAAGTTTAGCACTCGACCACTTGAGCCACAGTGTCACTTCTGGCTTTTCCTGAGTAATTTATTGAAGATAAGAATCTTACAGACTTTCTTGCCCAGGCTGGCTTCAAACCCTGATCCTCAGGTCTCAGCCTCTTTATTAGCTAGGATTATATAGGTGTGAGCCACTGGCGCCCGGCTACTTTTTCATTTCTTTCATTTTTGTTTTCTTTCTTTTTTTTTTTTTTTTTTTTTTTGGTTGGTTGTAGGGCTTGGACTCTGGGCTTGGGCACTGTCCCTGTGCTCTTCAGCTCAAGGTGAATGCTCTACTGCTTGAGCCACAGCACCACTTCTAGTTTTCTAGTGGTTTATTGGAGATAAGAGCCTCAGGGACTTTCCTCCCAGGGCTGACTTTGAACCGTGATCCTTAGATCTCAACCTCCTGAGTAGCTAGGATTACAAACCTGAGCCATCAGCACCCGGCTCATTTCTTGATCAGGAAGCATTTTAAGGTGATTCCTCCATCTCCTTCCTCTTTTTTCTTTATTTTGCAGCTGCTGACCTCCCTCCCTCTGTCCTGCCTGTGTACAGTATGTGCTACATCCTACCCACAAGCCCAGCTGGTGCTAGTGTGGTATATAGGACTTTGCAAAGAGCAGGGTGGGTTTGGATGCTGGAGAAGCAGTTTGGCAGAGGATTTGGTAGACTGAAACAAAACTAGATTGGCTAAACCTCTTTTGGGAATTGCATTGATGTGCAATAAAATAGTGGCCCTGGTGCTTTGTGCTTTCTTCACTCTTCTTCCCAGCAGCCCTAACCTGGGATTCTTGTCAGGGAGTGGTGGCACCCAGACTTAATGCACTAGAGATTGTTACATATTGCACCTGCTCCTCCAGCCTCCAGCCTTGGACCTCAAGGAGGTCACTTTCTCCCCAATCTCAGTTTTAACCCTGGTAGAACAGGCCCTTGTGAGCTTTAGGGCTGCTATGAGAAGCCACTGAAACTGTGTGGCAGTACATTCTCAGCGATGGCAGTAACTTCATGGGACTATAAAAGCGATTCAGTAACCTACTATTGATTGCTGACTACATTGGAGGCACCAAAGCTAGGCACATTCAGCCAGGTTGTTTGCTTTCTGTAGGACTAACAGCTGTGTAGAAGAGGTAGTACATCCTTTAGGTTGTGGCATCAGTTAACTTAAAGCATCTGCAGTTCTGAGCTGAGATTAGAAGATTGGGGAGTTCACCATAAAATGGAGGAGTTTGAGGTCAAAGTGAGATGAGTCCCAGAGGAGACGGAAAAAGGGCTGAACAGGAGTTTACCAATTGAAGAAGGGAGAAAGAACACTATTGGTAGAGAAAACAAAAAAAAAAACAACAAAATCTAATACGAAGAGAGTAAGAGAAACCACTTGTAGGGCATTTAGACATTACAGAGCTCTGAGAGTTACCTGTGACTTAGAAAACAGGATTTCACTGGGCGCTGGTGGCTCGTGCCAGTAATCCTAGCTTCTAAGGAGGCTGAGATCTGAGGATCATGGTTCAAAGCCAGCCTGGGCAGAAAGACCATGAGACTCTTATCTCCAATGAACCACCAGAAAACTGGAAGTGGTACTGTGGCTCAAGGGACAGTGCCCAGACCCAGAGTTCAAGCCCCACGACAAAAAGAAAAAAGAAAACAGGGGATTTTAACATTTTTCTTTTTGTTTGTTTGCTTGCTTTGTGTCAGTATTGGGGCTTGAATTCAGGGCCTGGGTACTCTCCCTTAACTTTTCCACTCAAGGTTGGCACTCTACCGCTAGAGCTACAGCTCCACTTGTAGCATTTTGCTGATTAATTGGAGATAAGAATCGATGGACTGGGGCTGGGAATATAGCTTAGTGGTAGAGTACTTACCTAACATGTATGAAGCCCTGGGTTTGATTCCTCAGTACCACATAACCAGAAAAGGCCAGAAATGGCACTGTCACTCAAGTGGTAGAGTGCTAGCCTTGAGCAAAAAAGAAGCTCAGGATTAGTGCCCAGGCCCTGAGTTGAAGCCTAAAGACTGGCAAAAAAAAAAAAAAGACTCCATGGACTTTCCTGCCTGGACTGGCTTTGAACTGCGATCCTTAAATCTTAACCTCCTGAGTAGCAACAATTAAAGGTGTGAGCCACCAGTACCTGGCTGACACCAAAGGTTTAAAGTGAGGGTGATGGCTATGGATTGTGCTGTGGTCAGATTTATTTTTCTAGAAGATGGCTTCTGGGCTAAGCAAAGTAGAGATGGGATGGCATGCTCAGTGAGGAAGATACTGGAGTGAAGTTAGGTGAAAGAACTGTGGCCTGATAGAGGCCTGATAGAGTTGGGGGCCTGGGCCATTAGGAAGACCCATTGGTCAGGACAGGATAGCTTATTGGATGTGGAGTGAGGAAGAGAAAGGAGCCCAAGTTCCCAGGAAGCTAGGTAGGGCTTTCCTGAAGGCCTTCAAACATTTGGACAGTCCTGGGTAGGAACCTCACATCAGGTGGATGCTGAATTCAGGGTCTGATGTGTTGTCTTTGAGGTGCTTGGGCACTTGGGATTCAGTGGAGGTGGGGGGCTCTGCAGAGGTGGGTATATGAAAATAGAATCTGGGAGGACATTTTGTGCCAAAGAAGGAGAGCCACAGATATAGGAGAGCCGACAGTGATACTCATCAAGAGAAGGTGGCTTCAGACAGTGGTACAGAGCTTAGAATTTGGTTTTGAATTACTGGAGTTTGACTTGACTTGAGCATGTTGCTTAACATCTCTGAGTCAATTTCCTCATTTGTTAAGTGAATATAATAAAATTCCATGTCTCATAGGGTTGTAAGGTGGATTAAAGTTAATATGCATTAAGTAGTTAGAACTAGGTCTGATACCTCCTAAGTACTGTTACTCAGTGGTGTTGGTACTAATCATTTTAACCATTGACAACAAGAGTAGTATAAGCCCACTTCCCATCAGAATCACCCAAGATTGCCTCAAAAAACCTATACTGGTCACCTAAAGTAGCTGCAGTTCTGAGCTGGAGTTAGCATGTAGGTAGTTTGACAAGGAGAAGAATGCTTTTGCCCTCAGCCCTCATCATTATCAATGGGATTGTATGTTACTCAGATATATTTGACCTTCAGCTGGACAAGTGTAAGAAGAATAAAGGTAGAGGGCTGTGGTGGGTAGAATTCTGGGAAGAAGCAGCCTCACCTGTCTAGTTCCTCAATTCCTTGGCCCTTCCTGAAATGTGAGCATCTCTAGAGATTTACTCCGAGTTCGCCTTAGAGGTCCAAAAGCACCATGTCTGTGGTTCTGAAGACTTCCAAGTTTAGTTCTTTGGCTGTATTTTCATTGCTGTTTCTGGGAACTTTTCCTGATGCAGCCACAGGGGCTGCCTGGGGGCTGCTCCAAACCATGTCTGTGTTCTAGATTTCCACTTGATTCTGCTCCCACTGCTAGAGCCAGCTTTCAGACCTGATGATGATGGAGAACCCTGCTGGGGGCCATCTGGATTGTTGCCCAGGGCCTTGTGTGATCTTGGTCATGTCTGCCTACTAACCTTACAAGGCCCTTCTGGTAGGCACCCAGTATGATTGCTAACTTTGCTCCTATGCCAGTTAAGTCCTTTCTGAGTAGTTTTCCAGTTTGCCTCCCAGTGTCAACGTTGGTCTGTTCTCAGGATGCCCCGATCTACCATTCTGAAATCTGCCCCAATCTGTCTAAAGTGGTTCTGGGAGCTGCTGTTGGAAAAATCTGTATATCTAAGAGAGATCTATCTGGGTTGTTTTGGGCCAATTTGTCCCAGACTGGTGTGGTCCAAGTGCTATTTGGGCTGTTCGAGAATTGTGTATTGGTGCTATTCTGTGTGCTTCAGTGCTTTTCCACCTGTGTGTGTTTTAGTCTGTCCTGGGACTCACCTCTTGGCCATTTTGAGTCCAGGCCTATTTCCAGATGTGGCTCCTGCTTGATGAAGAGCCTGTTCTCTTCTCCAAGCCCAAGGCCTGGGGTCCTGGCATGGCCTTGAGTGTGACATTGGTGCCTTGGACACTGCTCCTTTGCTTGGGTTCCTGAGCAGCAGTAGAGCCAGCAACCTCATGTCAGACTCAGTGAAGCCTGGCAGACATCTCTAGACAAACGGGCCTTTGAGTTTTGGGAAGCTGGTTTGTCTAGCCAGACCCGCCTGGCAGCCTGTGTACTGGGAGCAATGACCACTGGGAATATTGTGGAGCAACACAGTAGGCTGGAGGAGGGAGGTGTGTGGGCATTTTGAGGCCCAGGGCTGTTATTTCTGGTGGGGCAGGTTGTTTTCTGTTTCAGGACCTTGCACTCTTGCTTAGCTTTTGTCACTCAACCCTGGTGCTCTACCAATTGAGCCAGGCCCTCACTTCTGGGCTTTTTTCTGGTCAGTTGGAGATAAGAGTTCCTCAGATTTGTCTGCCTGGGCTGACTTCCAACCTCGATCTTCAGCTGTCAGCCTCTTGAGTTGCTAGAATTACAGGGGTGAGCCACCAGTGCCAGGATGAGAACATTATTTCATTGTGGGGAGCAGTACCGCTGCTCTGCAGCTGTCAAGACAGGGTTGGTAAGGATGGCATTGATTTGGTGAGACCTGTTATAGGTCTGTCAGGATGACCCGTGGCCAGAGAAGATGCTATACCTCTGTGTATGCATGCGTGTGAATGAACGTGCACACACACTCATCATGCCAAAAGTTAGCAATCTTAAGATAATTCCCAGGTCTGGGGGCTTGGTCCTGAGCTGGTAATAAGGGTCAATGACTGGGTTAGTGGTGATATTCCTAGACCCTATGACCAGTGTGCCTGTGTGTCCATTTTGGGAAGAGCCATGGTGGCAGGACTATGGGAGGGAATGGCTGTCTTTACATGTGGGGTTGAGGCCCAGGAGAAGCCTTCTACAAAGTTGAGTGGGCACTGTTAGAGCCTAGTAGCTGAGCTGAGATGGTGATTAAATGATGTGAGAGTTACTGACCCTTTCCCTCACCCTGCTGGTGCCCATGCTAATAGGGGTTCAGTAATGATTCTGGATGGAAAGGCTGGGCTCTGGTTGCACTGTGTGTGCCAGCGGAGGAGGCATGCAGGGACACACCTTCATTTAAAAAATTATAGAGAAGCAGAAAGTCAAAAATAAATATTGCTCTTGAAGTTCCTTTGAAGACTGGCATGTATGCTGGGGTGTGTTTTCCAATCTGTTTTCTGTGAACTCATTCATGCATTTATTTTTATATATATATATTTTTTGGGTCCGGTCGTGGGGCCTGAACTCTGGGCCTGGGCGCTGTCCCTCAGCTCTTCAGCTCAAGGCTAGCACTCTACCACTTAAGCCACAGCGCCACTTCCAGCTTTTTTCTTTTTGCTTATGTGGTGCTGAGGAATCGAACCCAGGGCCTTGAGCATGCAAGGCAAGCGCTCTACCACTGAGCCAACTTCCCAGCCCTCATTCATGCATTTATCAACTCAACTAAACATATTGACTGAACACCTACTATGTGCCAGGTTCCCTGCTGGACATTAAGAATAGGAAACTAAGCTAGGCAAACATGACTTGGGTTCTTATTGAGCTTATGTTAGTGACTCAGTAAGTATATAAGTACATAAATACATTTGTGGTTATTGCTCCAAAGCAGGGTCCAGGCATGAGGGTCAGCACATCATGAAAAGTAAGAAAGTGCCATTGGATTTGAGATACAAGCATACAAATGGACTACAAGAACATGGGTAGCCCATTTCCAACAGGGTCTCACAGTTAAGCAAGGCTGGGAGACAAGAAAAATAAAATGGTGCATTTGAGGATCAGAAGAGAAAGTTCTAGTAGCTGGCTAGTAGGAGGAGAACATGGGCAGGTGGGATTCACTCAGCCAGTAAAAGGCTGAGTGACTGCTTAGCGCCAGGTTTATAGTGAGAAATGTGGACACAAGTTCTACTACTGAAGTTAGACACTTGCTCTGTGTTGTTTATAACCATATGGAAGGATGCCTTGCACATACTAGGAGCTCAGGGAGTATCAATGAAAGAGTGATTTGAAAAAATTGGCATTTTTACTAAATTCTACACCACCAGTTCTATAACCTGTCTCTCCTGCCCGCAGCAGCCCCCTTTCCTCAGCAAATGTTAAACATCTGTGTCAATTCCTATTCTGATGTGATAAAATTCTTGTTTTCTCATCTTTCCCTCTCTGTCCAGCAAGGAGCGGAGACCCCCATACCCTGCCTTCAGAGCTGATTGTTCAGCAGGAGTGACTGTGAGCAGGCAGAAACACGGTAAGTGTGCCCCAAAGTATGACCAGAAGCAAGGGTGCAGGATAGTTTCTGTGCCAGGCTGAATAGTTTGGCTTTGATGCATGGCCCATGGAAATCCATGGAGGACTTGTCAACAAGGGCATGGAATGGCCCTGTATTCATATAGCTGAGAGGTGGTAGAAGCCTTTACCAGGAAGACAGTGATAAGAGGGAAAGAAAGGATTTGAGTGCTATTTACGGAGGTAGAGTAGACAGTCCGAATGAATATGGGGCATGAAGCAGGGAGGTGTCAAGGAGTTTCTGGCTGGAATAGATGACAGAGGTGGGTGGGGAATGATACACAACTCATCAACTGCTGTAGGTGTGAAATAAGCTTCTGGGTGACATTCTGGGGCTTACACCAGGATCTGTCTGCTTCTTCATTCACTGTTTCTTCTGAAAAGATGCTGCAAACTAAAGATTGTGGTACAAGGAGCAGAGTTCCCGCTGCAAAGTCTCTATGAGAAGCACTGCTTTCCAAGAGAAGCACAGAGGTGGGCTTGAGTTGCAAAGAATGAAGTTGAGAGTTTGAAGTTAGCATTATATGAGCTTGGATGTCAGGCTAAAGACTATAAACTTTTTTCTGGGGATGAAGCAAAATCTGCATATTCCTCTATCAGTTTAACTGTCCATTCACTCATTTAATCATAGAACATTTGCTTGAGCGCCTTTTATGGGATCAAGCAGCAAATATGGTACCCATGACACACATTTTTGCATTTGCTTTTTGGTTGAGGGTTGCTGATCCTGGGGCTTGAATTCAGTGCCTGGGCAGTGTCTCTGAGCTCTCTTTTTCTCAATACTAGTGTTCTACCACTTTGAGCCACAGTGGTTGCTTGGAGCTTGGAGCCTCACAGACTTTCCTTCCCAGGCTGACTTCCAACCATGATCCTCAGAGCTCAGATTCCTGAGTAGCCATGATTACAGGTGTGAGCCACCAGTGCCTGGCTACATTTTTCATTTTTGTAAACTAGATGCACCATTGATTGAGTTCAGGACAGGTTGGAAGGGAATGAAGCCCACTAAAGAGGCCAGAGGTGATTGGGATGGAGGCAAGGCAGATTCAAACTTGCTGGTGAGTTGAATATATGGGATGGAGAAAGGGAACATTTGAAGAAAACTTGCTGGCTTGAATGACTAAGTAGACCGAGATGCGATCCCTAAGATTAGGACTCTTGGATGAAGAGGGACTAGACGGTCCTGAGCCAAGGGCTTGGTGGGCCTCTTAACTCTCTGTGAACACCTTGAAGACAGAACCTTTGCCTTTGGGCAGTGAACAGTTCTGAATGGATGACTGGACAAAGAAGTCCATGGAAAAGATGGGTCTGGCCTAGACAAGGAGGAAATGAACATTGGATTCAGGTAGAGGGTCCGCAGGACCCTCAGGTTGGAAAGGTCAGGTGAGGAAAGTGGGTGTAGGAATACAGTATGCCCTTTACCTGCTCATCAAATGATGGTCTGGGCTGCCTGAAAGTTTACCAAAAGGGGATCCCTTTGTCCTCTGTGAAGGCCACTTGGTGATGGCACGTTTGTGTATGTTGCAGAACCAACTTATGGAGGGTAGGTTGATTTGGGGCTGGGGAAGATGCTCTGAGGTCCTGAGGATCCGAAACCAGCTAAGAGGAGAAATTGTGGCTGCCTTGGGCTTGTGGCCCAGGATGTTTCTAAGGGATTCGGTTCTGGGGCTGGGGCCATTTCAGAGTATAGGCTGAACTAGCAGTGGAGTTTCTCAATATCAGTGCTGTTGATATTTTGGATCAGATGACCTTTTGCTCTAGTGATTGACCTGTTATTATAGAAGCACTAACAGTATTGCAGATTTTTTCCTACTAGATGCCAGTAGCACCCTTGTCCACCCTTGCCTTTGACAATCAAAAATAGCTCCAGGCGCTAGGCACCAGTGGCTCACACCTATAATCCTAGCTACTCAGAAGGCTGAGATCTGAGGATCATGGTTCAAAGCCAGCCTGTGCAGGAAAGGCCATGAGACTATCTCTAATAAAACCACTCAGAAAACTGGAAGTGGCGCTGTGGCTCAAGTGGTAGAACACTAGCCTTGAGCTGAAGGTCTGAGGGACAGGGCCCAGGCCCAGAGTTCAAGCCCCACAACTGACAAAAAAACAAAAAGCTCCAGGCATTATTTAATCTCATGGGGGAACAGTCACCTTGGATTGGCAACCACTAGTCTGTATCACCTCTTGTGCCTTTCTCTATGCTATATAAAGCTAGAAAACTGAGCAGGATCATATGGAAAAGATTTACATTGATGTGTCACTTGAGCCTAGTTCTGAAGGCTGAGTGAGTGGCTAGCCAGGAGAAAGGCATCCTTCCCAGAAAAGACAAAGCAAGGGCAGAGGCCTAGAGGCAGCAAAGTTAGTGCGCATTAATGCAAGAGGACCCCACACCTCGAGAGGAAGGGGACTGGAGGCTTAGGAGTTGTAATTGTAGGAAGGTACCTCTACTGGTCTGTTTTGATCTCATGCTTTCCAGCTAGTCCCCTCCTAGGCCCTTGGCTGCCATCCCAGAGACTTCAACACTTCCAATCACTCCCTCCTTGTAGCTGAGGGCTATAGGAGGATGGGGGTTCTATACAGCTGGGAGGGAGAGAGAGAGTTGTTCCTGGCTTTGCTTACAGATTCTGGCCCCCTGGCTAGAAGAAAGAAGGCAATCTCGGCCCCCTTCTGCCAGCTTCCTCTTTCGTGAAGCTGGGGTCTTGGCTGAGGCTGTGATTTATTCCTGTCATAATCCTGTGGTTGGTTTGGTGAGAGTTGGAAACATGTTGGTTTTCCCTTCCCAAGTGTAGCAAGGCCCGTTTCCGCCTCCGTGGCTGCCTTTGCAGTGCCACGTGGTAAACTGTCCAGGACATGACAGAAGGGCTTGGTTAGCTGCTGCCACCAGTTAGAAGAAGAGTAGCTCCCAGCTTTCCCTCCCCAATGTGCTTTGCTGCCCAAGTGCTGGCCTCTCCTGTTGGCTGGCTACTCCATGTGGCCCTGGGTTACTCCTTCTGCCTAGGTCTATTCTGAGTTCCGGTCTTCTAGGAGCCAGGGTCCTGGCCTAGGGAAGGGTTAGGAGAGGAATAGGCACAGGTGGTATTTGGAGACTAATTAATATTTGTGAATAATAACCCATGCCCAAGGGAAACAAATCAATCTGTGTTTGCATATTCATAAGGGGGCCTCCGGAATGATCCCAGCTGTTTTTCAGCCAGGAACCCCTCCTTCCTGGCCCCTCAATCTCTCTTTGGTTTTGGCAGGGGTGATTAGGGTGGGCCACATGGAGGTGATGTTTCTGTGTAGCACACATTTTCCATGATGTTGGTGTACAGGTCTTGTGGCTTGGTGTGGTGCCTGCTTCCTATTTTTCCCAGGCTCTTTGGTTTCACAAACTGGTTCAGTTTCCAAAGGTTCTTGAGGCCAGACATAGGGTTGGCAATTTTTTTTATTTTGCCAAGTAAGGACATTGTAAGTAGCAACTGTTTATCTGCTATCCCCATCGTGTCATACAGGAAAGGACATTTTAGTACCAAGGACAAAATCTGAGAATAAAGGACAGTTCTTCCTATGAAAGGGCAGTTGGCAGATTTACACTGATGTAGCAAAGAAAAAAGATGTATTAAAAACCATCTTGAATGTAGAAAAATTGCATCTAATTATGTTCGATAATATCACATGGCCTGTAATTGTTTTCCTGTTGAAGTGTGTCAGTTTGTTAGACCTGATAGTCCACAGTGCAATTCAGAGATGAGCTTGAGTGCCCAAGTATTTGGGCCTTGTTTTTCATCTGAGCCATCAAAGGCCCAGACTTACCCAGCCTTGCTGGTGAAGTAGACACCCTGCTCTGAGTACTCTCTTATAGGGTGGTTATGTAAAGCTAGCAGTAGTCCTGTCTCCCTGTTCCTCTCTGCCTTCTGTTAGCAGGTGACCTGTGACTGGGGGGGGTGAGGGCAGGACCAAGGTCTAGCCCTGAGGCCAGGCTTGGGGACTCTTGAGTTGCTTTGCTCTCCTCTGGCTGTAGGAGGCCCTAGAGCTGGGAGTGGCCTGAACCACCTGATGTGGGGCAGGCTCTATGCTCTGCAGTCTAGAGGCGGGAACTGCTTGCTCACGCCAAGAGCTACTAACTAGGAGACATCTTGGCTCAGACAGTTGTGTGGTTGCCAGGGTAGTTCCTAAAAAGGTGTTCATGAGTGTGTGTCCTTGTATTTCTTTGTATCTCTTGAGTGTCTACGTCCCTGTCTGTGTCCATGGACCACTGGGAGAAGCTTTTCCACAAGGAAATGACTTTGTTTTCCATTTTTCTGCCTTTGTCTGTCCTACATTGTGAATCTGAACAAAATGTTCTGGGTATCTCAATCCAGGTCTCTTAACCCCTGTAGCCAGAATCTCACCCAAGATTGGTCTATTCTGTTAGTGATAGTCCATGATGGCTCTACTAGATGGAGCCTTATACTCCTTTAATATCTATAGCAGGGCCTGACACCCATGGGGTCTATGACAGGAGATATGCCTCTCTGGTAGTATACTGTCCTTAACAGGCAGTTATACTGTTATATGTGTGTACCCTCTGTGTATACTCATATAATATCTGGGCCAGACACTACACTTTATAATGTCTACACCTGGGAGTTACAGTTCTATGATTGCTGTACAAAGGCAGCTACAGGAGATTAAGCCTCTGTGGTAATTATGCTGGGTTTCATACCATGACTGTGCTGTGCATTTGTACTTCATAATGTCTGTTCTGTTTAGCTTCATCCCTTTATGTCTGTACCAGAGAGATGTACCCTCATGATATTTCTACAAGAGGTTATATCCCTGTGGTGTCTACACTGGGGGTTATGTACTTGGAAAAAACTGTTGACTTTGTATTGTCACACTCCATGATACCTGTCCTAGGCCACTTTACACCTGTCCTTTGGTACAACACTATTGACTTGCACCTATGGTATCTGTTCTGCAGCTGAAGGATGATTGCATCAGGGCACTGTGCCTCCATGATAACCTGGCTAGGTAGTTCATTACCTGATGTCTGCTGACAAGTTGGATTGTACTGTTGGCTACACTGCAGTACCACTGTGCTATGATGACCAAATCCAGCACAGTCTTAGCAGTTCTGGACCTCCATCCTGACATGACCGTGTAGGACATCATTGTGGACTCAGCCACCTCAGCTATGTGATCACTAAGCAGGACCCCTAGCTTGGTGCAAATGGGGCTGGATACTCAATGTCCTTTCAGCTTTAATTGCTTTTTCTGGCTCAGTTCTTGTCTGCGAGTTTCAGTAAAATCCTAAGGCAGGGCTGGGAAGGTGTCTCAGTGGTAGAGTGCTTGCCTTGCATGCCTGAGGCCCTGGCTTCAATTCCTCAGCACCGCATAAACAAAAAGAAAAAAAGCCGGAAGTGGCGCTGTGGCTCAAGTGGTAGATCACTAGCCTTGAGCTGAAGAGCTGAGGGACAGGGGCTGGGAAGATGGCTCAGTGGTAGAGCGCTTGCCTTGCATGCCTGAGGCCCTGGGTTCGATTCCTCAGCACCACATAAGCAAAATGAAAAAAAAAAAGCCGGAAGTGGCGCTATGGCTCAAGTGGTAGAGCGCTAGCCTTGAGCTGAAGAGCTGAGGGACAGCGCCCAGGCCCAGAGTTCAGGCCCCACGACGGGACCCAAAAAAAAAAAAAAAAAAAAAAATATATATATATATATATATATATATATATATAAAATCATAAGGCAAGGGACATCTTCCCTTTTTCTTTGTGTTTATCCTCTATCACACTTCACAGTCATCTGTGCTTGGTCTTATCACCTTTGCTCATCTACTGATCTCTGACCTCATGACCTTTGACTGCTCCTGTTGAAATAAAGGTTCAAGTTCTAGGAAGGCCCAGAACCATCTTAGATCCCTATCTCTCCTGTTTATCTACCTTGTAATCTTGCAAATTCTCTTAGCATTATGAGTCAGGCACCTGAGTCTGACCATGACGCCACCAGAGTTTATGGGTACCCAAGCCATGGTCACTGCCACTCACTCCCCATGCTTTGTCGAAATTTTAGAGTATTAATGAAGTCCTGACCAAGTGCCAGTTCCCCACCCTTGGCAAGATGTATGCAGAGGTGGTGGACACTGCTGCATATGGCCTGAAGCTCCTAGATCCTAGGCATAGGATGTGGAAGAGTGACCCTTAGGAGCTTGCCACTAGGATTGAGGAATGATGGCAATGTTTTCAGTATGTTGTATGGTCACAGGAAGGTATCATACTGGTGTCTACAGAGTAGAGAGGGCATTCATGCAGGAGCCTGTGAACAAAGACCTCCAGACACAGTCCCTTACTGTCCTCTCTGTGATATTCTTCTGGTTTCTGGGACAAAGGAATAGGAGGCATGGGGATTGAGTCTAGGGTCTAACACCTCCATTCCTGGCCACTGAAGCTTCCCTGTGGTTTCTCTTTGGAATGGGAAGGCATCATGGGAATTGGGTAGGATGAAGGTGGCCAGGCAGGGCAGTTGCAGCTTGTCAAGAGCAGTCTTGGCCAGCCCTGATGGGTTGTGGCTTTGGCTACAATCCTTTGATACCTTGATCTGTCTGCTGCCAGCAAGTCTGTGTTCTGGGATCTGTGTTCATTGTGTGGAGGTGTGGCCTCTTGCCTCCCTCCCTGCTCAGGAGCAGAGCGGGGGGGGGGGGGGGGGGGCAACAGGATGCCCCTTTGGAGTACCTGGCCTGTGTGGATCTGCCTAGTTCCTAGCTGATCCCTATCTGTGTCTTATTTTTGTTGGTTCAGTCTCTGTGTCTCTGACTGTGTGTCTCAGACCCCATTTCCTTGCCTACTTCATGGAGTGAGTTGGAAGCTCAAAATTAGGATGGATCATCCTTGTACACCCTGGTCTCAGTAGCTCACTGTTCTTCTGATGGTGTTTAGAGAATGGCCTGAAGGCCTCCTGTATACTAGTTTGCTGAACTAGTGTCTGGATGGACCATGAGGATGAGTGGAGACTAGAAGAAAGCAGGGGTGGGCAGTAGGGATACTGATGGATATCAACTGACTGGCTCTACCTTTCTCTCTGTTACCAGGTGCATTGTCTTGGGCTGTGGCTGACTGAAGAGCCCTGGATGGCCCTAGAGCCAGCCCCAGGGAGGATGATGGTGCCCCTTGTGCCCACACTCATGATGCTTGGTTTGGTGGTGGGTGTCCACGGCGACAGTAAGTAACCCTTCAAGGTGCAGATCTCTCAGGTTGAAAGGACAGTCTTCCTAGCAGTTCTTTGGGATAGGACAGAACTACTTACAGGAATAATAGGGTGCCCAGAGTACTCAGCCTTACTGCTTCCTGTAAGTACCTGTGGAGTACTTGTGTATCGCTTGGGCTCTATGGGGCAAGACATGCCTAAGCATGATCTAGTTTTATGGGGCTGGGAAGACATGTCCTGAATTCATGTGGTCTTTATGTGACATGCTCAGGCATGTGCTGTGTGTCCTTATTGCAGATGTGTGTACAAGGACTAGAGAGTGTGCATGGATGTGTGAATGGGGTGCCAAATGTCCAGAGAGGGCTCAGCAGCTTCCCCTTGGATCCCACTATGGGGATATTGAGCCCCTTCCTTCACCTTTTACTAGGAATCTTTCAAGGCCAGGGGCATCTCTTCATCAGCCAGGTTCTCATCCCTGGAAAGTGATGGAAAGTAGGAAAAGACTGCTGCTTAGCTGTCAGGAAGCTGAATTCCAATTCCGCGTGTGTGTGTGTGTGTGTGTGTGTGCGTGCGTGCGTGCGCGCGCGCGTGCGCGCGCGTGTGCACGTGTTGGACAGCAATCTGTCCCTTATCCGGGTCCAATTCTGAACTTTGGTCCCTTTCCTGCTGCTGCCCTTCCCCCAGCCTGGCACTACAGTAGACTGGCCACAGCCCTCCCGTCGCCATGGTTACCACTGCTTGGTTACTGGTGGGAGGTGGAGCACAGGGTAGGCTCAACCAATCTGCAGGCTAGGGGGAGGGGCAAGGTCAGAGTCGAGGTCCCTGGGGGAAGGGGATGTTCCCAGCCTGTCCAGAGCCCAGAAGCCGTCCAGGACCAATTCAAGGGTCAGCAGGCCATAGTTGTCCTTTCCACCCCCAGGTCTCTGGGCGAAAGTCTTGCCCTACCAGGGCTCTTTCTCCTAATGGCTCATTAATTATTCAGGAGCCATGTTGGAGAGGGGTGGCCCCGAAGCACCCTGCCCTTTGTCCTCAGAGGCTAGGTCCTGAGTGGAGCTAGAAGGGAAAGGGGTAAGGGGCTGACATTCTTCTATGGAGGGGAGGATGAAGAGCAGTGGGAGCTGCTGGCCGTGAGAAGGCTAGACAAGGAGCAGTGCTGGGATCTAGTTAGAGGCTGTAGGGGGAGGGAGTAATGTGAAGGAGTTGGGAGTGACCTCCAGGCCTGCTTGGAGCTGCTGGGAGAGAGCTGGTACTTAGACGGGCAGTTTGGAAGACCTCACTGGGTGTGACTGCCGTCAGCCGGGAAACATGGGCTTGTTGAGAGGTGGTTAGGATCCCTTGAACATTGAAGGACTAACATTGCTCTCCTGTCCCAACCCAGACATTCTTAGGGCCTGAGAAGGCAGAGAGAGAGGATATGCAACTAGTATTAGAGCTTTACGAAACTGGGTTCTGGGAAAGCAACTTGCTTTCCTTCCGGCTTCATTTCCAGTATGCCCCCACCTGCTTTGCTTCCTTTTCTTCCTGTGAATAGCATCACCATGGTCCTCCTCTCATACTCTACATCTAACCCATCAGCACATTCTGTTATTTCTACCTTCTGAGTATCTTTAGAATGTATCCACTTCTTTCTACCGTCTTTATCCAAGCCACCTTCAGCTCTTACTTAGGCTTTAGCACACAGCAGCCTCCTGATAGCTTCCCTGTTTCTGGTCTCCCCTCCAAATTCATTCCCCTTTCTACAATGAGAGTCTTGTTGCAAAACAAAAACTACACTGAGTCACTCCTCAGTTTAACTCCTTTACCCCTCCCTGTTTTCAGGGTTCAGAACCTTTGCCAACCTTTTCTTTTGTTTTCCTCCACATACTCACTTCTCTGAGTTGGCTCACTTACTGCCTGTGTCCAGGCCTTTATTTCTATTATTTCTGTCCTTGGTTACATACTACAGTTGTAGCATTCTGCCCCACTGACTATGAGTCAGGGAAGTTCAGGTGTTGCCCAACTCAGGACCTAGAATGTGTGGTTGGTGGGTAAGTAGAGAGATGGAGTGGGCCTGTACTTCAATAGGCATTTGTGGGGGGACAGTTTTTAAAGCAGATTTCCAGGAATCTCCCTGCTGGCTCCTTAGTAACCAGAAGCAAGGGACCAAAGTCTTAAAGGTAGTTACCAGCTGAAGAAGCTGAGATCCTGCCTCTGCTAAGGTGGGAGTTCTAGTGATGTCACCTGGACTCTCTCCCACACTTAGAACTATGGGACAAGATTCTCAACTGGGGGTCATAGTGACCTGGTCCCAGGATTAGACTTTCCCCTGCAAAAAACCTGCCTTAAGCTGCATTCACTTTTGGCTCTATCTCCACTATGGCCAGGCTAGGACTGAGTTTGGGTGACTCCTCACTAGGGGCAAACCGCCAGACACAGCAGAGGCTGCTATAGAAGGCAAGGCAGGCACCCCAGAGAATTGACGACTAGAGCAGCAAAGCGCGGAATGGACAAATGTGTTTCTATAGGCCTCTTAACGAGACAAATGAATGGGGGCCCTGGCCTTGGAGGGAAGTGGAGGGAAGCTAGCTGGAGAAGTACCTGCCAAGAGTTGGCCTGGAGGCCCAGCATCAATGCCTACTCAGCTCCAGTTGAAACCTGGACAAGCACTTAAACCTGGGCAAGCCTGTGAGGATGGATTCCTCTCATCCATCTCCCCAGCCCAGCACTTTGTGGCTTCTCAGGAGGAGAGACCTGTGAGGCCAGATGTGGTTCTGAGCCAGGATGGGAAGAATCTATGCAGGCCTATCATAGGATAGTACCAATCATGTAGGGACACAGAACTTCAAGTAGACAATGCAACAATGTGGGTGCAAGTTTGGGCAGTGTTGACACAGGCAGTGGGCAGTGATCTTGGAACAGGTGTTGGGAGGCTTTCTGGAAGAGAAAACCAAGGGTAGTGGTAAGGGGTATTGCATAATGGGGTGAGACTGGAAGGAGGAAAGATGGTCCCTGGGCTTCTGAGCTCATGGGAAATCCATAGCGAGTCCCACATATAACGTGGAACAGAGACAGGGCCTCAGGACCAGATGTGAGTTGGTATGGCCCAGTTACTTGGACTCATTAAAGCTCAGAATAGGATACCTGGTGGCTAGAGGGGTGGGCAGGTGCTGAAGATACAGAAGGCCAGGGCCTGAGGAGCCAGTGGTGTGTGCATTTCTACCATTTGCCTTCCTTTTGAGCCCCTGAAGCTGGAACATGCTGGGTGTTGTACACAGGTTCTGCATTGCTTTCCCCCTCATGTTTATGGGTGGCCAGTCTAGACTCTGCCCTCAGGAACTTCCGGTATTAATGCTTTCTCTCTCTGTTTTCCTATTGCACAACAGAGTTAATCACTACTATAGGGAAAGGTTAACTGAGGTCATGTGGCCAAGACACCTGGCACCTAGTAAATGCTCCCCCTATTGGAGGCCAATGACTGGGCTCCAAGAGTTCAGGAGTGACTTGGAACTAGGGTTGTCTTTGAGCCCTAGAGGGGAGTGGGGCAGTCACAGGAGCTCATTAATGAGTCCCTAGCTCATTAGGCAGGTCAGAGCCTGGGAAATCGCCTCTCCAGGAGCTCTTTCTGCCCTTGCCTTCTGTCTGTCCTTCACTGTGTGTCTGCCCTCTGTTTCACTCTGCTGTTTATGTGCATGTGTGGATGTGTTCCTCAGAGAAGGCATAAAATAGCAGTCAGTCTCCCTGCGGAGGAGCCTTGGAGGTAGCCCAGCTTGGCTGTCCCTGGAATCTCCCTGGAGGTTATGCCTCCTTTAGCCCAGGCCAGTTCCTTTCTTAAATCACTACCTCCCACCAGGTCCCTTTATCCCAATCTGCAGGGTTTGAGGCTTGCTCTTGAGAATACCTCAGTGTATACCTTTGGAGCCCAAGGTTCTGTGCTGCCCATGACCCTGTGTGGCGGGGAGGGGAGGGAGACACACTGGTGAGTTGTCAGGCTGGGCAGCAGCAGTGTGTTCAGCTGGCACCCTATTGACACAAATTCAAAAGTTGTATTCTGACCAGCTGTGTATCAGGCTCAGAGCAGGAGTGGTCACAGAGGTTTGTCCTTGTGCATGAGCATCTGGGTTGTCACAGGGATGTGATCAATGCTGGGATGCTATCTGTGCTGGGATGCTCAGTCTAATCATGGCACAGAAAGCAGGCTTCTACAACCTCTTGAGTGGGACCAGTCACCAGAGAGCAAATCATACCAAAGGCAAGGAGGAAACTATGATAAGGCTAAGTCTATCATAGTTTATGCTTTGTTCTCAACAAGTAGTAGGTGCTCAAAAGTGCTGGAAGAGATAGAAGGTGGGGGCTGGAAGGTTAGAGGGAGCATCTTTGAGAAGGGAAAAAAGATTATGTGAGGACAGGTTTGTAGGTAAGAAATGGTGGGCTCCCGTGGTGAACAGAAAAGTCAAGGGCTTGATGGGGTCTGATATAAGGAGGAACTGGGGTTTGGCTCTGGTGTTGTGTGAGGGCCGGGGGTTGAGGAGGTAGGCTGGAGGGAAGCAAGGCAAGGCCTACCAAAGAGCCCCGAGCTGTGTAGGACTGGGCAGCCCTGCCAGTCTGGCCCAGGGCAGTGAGTGGGGCCAGGCGCTGGCTCCTCGCCAGCTCCAAGGGAGGGGAGTAGTTCTGCCTTCTCAATGGCCCCAGGCCTTGGGCACAGTCCAGCCTCCACTGAGCTCTCAGGCTTGTCCCTCCTGGCTGCTCCTGACTCTACCTGGCTCCCCTCCCCAGCTTCTTTGCTCTTTGTTTGGCAAGGAGGCCCCTCCTCGCCCTGCCCCCCAGTGTACTCCCAGCCATTCCGGTTCTGCAGGTTGCTGCCTCTGGTTTCGGTGTAGACACGTTGAGGCAGGAGTTGGAGGGGGACTTTTTTCCTGGAGTTTCTCCCTTGCTGAGAGGGAAGGTGTTTGTAGGGGCCCAGTCTCCACCTGCCTTACACATTCCTTTCTCTGTTCATTCTTTCCTTCATTCTACACCCCAGTGTGCCAGGAGCTGGGTCAGACACTGGAACAAGGCAGGAAACTGGACAGGCTCAAAATCTCACCAGGGTTATGTTCTCTTTGGGAAGCACTATTAAACAAAAATGTAGAAAAAGTAATAGCCTCACAGGTACACAACCAAAAGTTATAACTTCACACTCAGGTATAAACAATGGGCAGGAGGCAGAGCCTAAAACCAGGAACTGAGAGTGAGCGGATAGGGGGCAGGGCTGGTTGATCATGTTTGAACTGAGACTGGAAAGGTTATTAGGAGATTGTGGGTAGAGTGGGTGGTCTAAGAGGTTCTCAGTAGAAGGAGCAACATATGTAAAGGCCCTGAGGCTATGGAGAACATTGTTTATTCAGGGCTCCAAAGCCAGGACTCTGGAGAGAGTGGCTGGGTCAGCCCTGGCAGGGTTTTGTCTGCAGTGATAGTGTTTTGAGAGCAGTGGGAGGCTTTTTGAAGAGATTTGATCAGGGAATGCTGTCTTATGTCTGCTGAACGGAGAATAGAGGAGGTGGGGTAGGATGAGAAGGGAAGGAGGGACACCAGCTTGTGGGTTGTCCTGAACAGGGAGATAGTGTCTGGATTGAAGGTGGTGAGAGTAGAGATAGAGAGCTGGGAGCTGCTGTCAGGAGGTCCTCCGGTGGAGGGGTGGGAAGTAAGGGATTGTTCCAGTGGGCATGAGGTATCCTGTCTGAAAAGAGCACTCTCAGAGGAGCAGGAAGCAGTGACAGACTACAGATCTGCGCGCACTGAGATAATCCCAAGCCTCCCTTAAAGGGAGAAAAGAGATTCAAATGGAGGTGTCATCCCCATAACCTTCTGGCCCAGCACTCTGTTCTGGCTTCTCTGGCTCCTCTGAGCTAGCTGCCCTCACCCCTCTACAACTCCCAAGAACAGAAAACATGGGTCCCAAGTTTCCCTCCTCCAGGAGCCACAAGGTCACAAAATGAGTTGAATATTTGGACACTTCACCTCATTGATCTTTTCATCCTTTGAACCTTCATTTCCTGGATTCTAAAATTCAGGTGATAACATACCTTTGTGGAATGGTGATATTAATGAGTAATAGCTGTCTTTGAAGAAAACTCAAGGTGTTATGTCCTGGAAAAAAACAAAAACAAAAACCAAGAATTACAACCTTCCAGTCATTTACTCCAGCTGCTATCCTTATTTCCATCACAGCCAGTCTGCCTTACAGTCTGCTGTGCTTCCTTTCCACTTCTTCACTTCTGCTCACTTTACTGCCTCTTAGGTTTGACTTTTTCCTCTACAACTCCAAGAGGTCTGTTCTTTTTTTGTTTTTGTTTTTTTTGTCGTCATGGGGCTTGAACTCTGGGCCTTGGCACTGTCCCTAAGCTCTTCAGCTCAAGGTGAGCTACCACTTGAGCCACAGCACCACTTCCGATTTTTTGGTGGTTTATTGGAGATAAGAATCTCACAAATTTTCCTGTCTGGGCTGGCTGTGAACCATGGTGCTCAGATCTCAGCCTCCTGAGTACCTAGGATTACAGTCATGAGCCACCGGTGCCTGCTTGGACCTGCTCTTGATTAGTCCCCAGCAGTCCCCCATGAACTATTTTGTGCTTGTTATTTTGGACTCTTAGCAGGCCTGAATTCAAGACCTGGATGTATGACCTTGGGCAAGTGATTTGATCTCTCAGACTGGAAACTGGAAATAATGATGATGAAAAACTAAATAAGTACCTGGTGCAGAGTGGATGCTTAGCATCAGGCCTGGCCTGGGCCTGAGATATCTTAGGTACTAAGCAGGTGGTCTAAAAGGTCATTTCTCAGAGCATTAGCCCTTCTAGTAGCTGTTCATTGGTCTGATTAATTGGAAATAGATCTGCTGTCAGGATTAACGAGGCATTGCCACGTCTTAATGAACAAGTTTGGCTTATGACCCTGGATGGTGGGATTCATAGGGATAGGGGCTATGGGTGGGCCCTGATGTGAATACCAGAGTGCCAAAGATGTGGCAGGACAGTGCCTGAGCCCCTCTCTTTTCCCCCTTCCCTTGCCTTCTGAAGGAAGAATTCAAGGAACAGCAAAAGCAACCATCAAGCCAGGGGGAAGGAGTAGGGAGGGGCCCATTACCGGAAAGCATTCACCTGGGAAGAAGTCCAGAGATACTTAGGAGCTGGAATGTCTAGTCCTTTGGGACTGCTAGTATGTTGGGGCTGAGGAAAGAGGAGTTACAGTTTCTGGCTCAAGTCTAGGGGTAGATGGAGTGCTATTATGGAAATGGAAAGCAAGAGGGAAGGGCTCTTCCCAGAGAGCAGCTAGTTCTATGGCATGCTTTGTCCTGGAGATTGGAATGACTAGGGTGGGAAACTGACAAAAGAAACAAACCATTGCTCCTGGTGCTGGGGTTCAGATTATACTCTACCCCTTACTGGCTGTGTCATGTAGGGCAAATCCCTTAGCCTCCATGTGCCTTGACCACCTCATAGGTGTCAAAGAGTTAATAAACATTTAGCTCTTTGAACAGCACCTGACACATATGAAGCCTTACATAAAGGTTAGAGATCATTACTATTATCCCTTAAATCTTTCTTGCCCCTCCCTCCAACTGTCACCTGTAGTGTTGGCCATTCTGGATGGGACGGTGCCTGTGGTAACTTGATGTCTATATCTCTTTCAGGCAAACCTGTCTTTGTTAAGGTCCCAGAGGATCAGACTGGGCTGTCCGGAGGAGTGGCTTCCTTTGTATGCCAAGCCACAGGGGAACCCAAGCCACGGATCACATGGATGAAGAAGGGGAAGAAAGTCAGCTCCCAGCGCTTTGAGGTATGTCCTTGGGCAGAGGGGCCAGAAAGGTTGCAGAGTTGGCTTACTCTTCCTTCCAGTCCTGCACCTGATCCTGTTTTGGAGGTAAAAGAAAGATTGGCCTCAGTAGGTCCCCACTAGGCTGTGACCACATATCTGTTCTCTGACAGGTAATTGAGTTTGATGATGGAGCAGGGTCAGTGCTGAGGATACAGCCATTGCGCGTACAACGAGACGAAGCCATCTATGAGTGCACAGCTACCAATAGCCTGGGAGAGATCAACACAAGTGCCAAGCTCTCAGTGCTTGAAGGTATGTGCCAGGAGGAGCATGGCGTGGTAGTGGGTAGACTGCTGTGGAGAAAGCCAGCTGGCTCTGGCCTTGCCATGGGCATGTATGCTTGAAATAACTGGCCATTTGGAGATGGATAAGTCTGTTTCAAATGCCTAGATTGCTGGCTTGAGCTGAGGCTAATTGTGGGCTAGATGCCTTTGTGTCTTTCTGCTAGGCCAGGTCATTGCTCTGGTGGGGTCTGGGTCAGACTTGACAAATAGAGCTACACCTGTATCCCTTAGTTTATGTGGCAGTGGCACTGGGTGAAATTTTCATGTAGAGTCTGGCTGTAGGTTTTGGGTGTGTTTCTGTTGTTCCTCTGAGCAAGGGTCCCAGGTTGGGGCTATGGCTCTGAATGTGAATTTTAGTGTGTTTTTCACTTGGCAAATCTTCATTCATAAGCATTTTCTGGACTGACTAAAGTCCAGAAGGTCATCTCACCAGGTTCTATCCTCAAATTGAGCAGCATCTAGTGAGAAAATTCTCAGAGGGCTGATGAGAAGAAGAAGAAGAGGAGCTCTTACTGTGTGAGCCAGGTCTCAAAAGTAGAGGAAGAGAATCTAGGGGTCAATTGGTGTCCAAGTATGTGCTGAAGCTCACAGGCAGGCAAGGTAGAATGAGCTCCAAATAGTTTAGTTTGGGTTTTTTTAGTGGGCAGGTGTCAGGGATGTGGAAGGCACAGACAGAAGGCCTGAAAACAATTCTGCATGTTTCTGGAGGTTGAAAGAAAGAGCTCATGATATCAAATTAAAAAATGAACGCTTCTGGGGGCATAGAAAGACACAGGGGTGGGGAGATGCAACAGCTACATCAGTCTGAATGTGTTTTCAAAGTATAGCATTGATTGTTGATTTAAATGCAATACCAATACCTGTTCTCAGCTAAAAATCTGAAAAGTGTAGAATACTATATAGGAATAAAAATCACTCATTATCCTACTTCTACCAGTACTGGTTATTTCCGTGTGTGTGTGTGTGTGTGTGTGTGTGTGTGTGTGTGTGTGTGTGTGTGTGTGTGTGTGTGTGTGTGTGTGTGTGTGTGTGTGTGTGTGTTTGCTGCTTGCAGCTATAAAGAGAAAAGAAATCAGATACTGTCCATTGATTTGCGGACTGTTTTGTTTTTGTTTTTTGCTTTGTTTTATTTTGTGGTGCTGAAGATTGAACCCAGGGCCTCATATATGCTAAGCAAGCATTCTACCAGTGAACTATATCCCGAGCCCCTTTGCACTCTGTGTGTGTGTGTGTGTGTGTGTGTGTTTGTACACGTATACCAGGTACTTCTGGTTCACCCCTATAATTCTAGCTATTCAGGAAGCTGAGATCATAGAATCACAGTTCAGAGCTAACCCAGGCAGAAAACTCTACAAAACTTAACTCCACAATAACTAGAAAAAAGCTGGACTAACACCCACAGCTCAAGTGATAGAGTACCAGCTGAGCAAGCAAGCTAAATATAGTCCCTGAGTTCAAACTAGTACTGGTAATAAACAAAAGTCCAATCGCATTTGAACATTTCCTTGCCATTAAATATTCTTCTGCATCTTTTGTTGTTGTTATCAGTAATGGGGTTTGAACTTGGGGCCTGGGCTCTGTCCCTGAACTCTTTTGCTTAGGGCTAGCACTCTACCACTTTGAGCCACAGCTCCACTTCTGGTTTTCTGGTGGTTAACTGGAGATAAAGAGTCTCTCAGACTTTCTTGCGTGGGCTGGCTTGTAACTGTGTCCTCAGATCTCAGCCTCCTGAGTTGCTAGGAGTGCTAAGCTTGCATTATTATTTTTAATAGCTATGAATTGCTGTCACATAGAAGTATCCTAATTTCTTTTTTTTTTTCAGTCCGGTCATGGGGCCTGAACTCTGGGCCTGGGCACTGTCCCTCAGCTCTTCAGCTCAAGGCTAGCACTCTACCACTTGAGCCACAGCGCCACTTCCGGCTTTTTTCTGTTTGCTTATGTGGTGCTGAGGAATCGAACCCAGGGCCTCATGCATGCAAGGCAAGCACTCTACCACTGAGCCACCTTCCCAGCCCCCCATATCCTAATTTCTTTATTGTTAGACACATATGTTGTTCCCAATGTTTTCCTTTTCTAAGTACAGTGCCATACGTGTCCTTGAAGATAGATGTATTCACTTTGCTGATCATTTCCTTATTCTACATTTATGGAGTGGAATTGCTAAGTCAAAGGGCATGTGCATTTTTATGTCTTCAATATTTCTATAAGATTATATCAGTTTATATTTCTGCCATGCAAGGGCATAAGAGGGCCTCTTTTCTGCACATCCTCACCAGCAGTAGAAATTACTATTATAAAATGTCTTTGCCAAGTTAATGGGCAAAGAATGACATCCCAACTTAATTTGCATTTCTTTGATTACAAAAACAGTTGAACATCTTTTTACATTGGCCGTTTTATGCTGTGGTTTTATGTGTTCACACATATATTCAGTAAGTCTTGGATCTGTGTGTCTTGTGTGAATCAGTGGGTTCTAGAAGGCTTCCATAGACCTTCCAGCTAAGCAGGGGCATAGAGAACAATGGTGAAGGTGAACTCTGGGCCACTTAACACACTGTGTGACTTTGGACCAGTGACTCTGCCTCTGAGCCTCATTTGTTCCACCTATAACCTGGGATATAGTAGTTGGTATGCAAGCTGGTTTGGAGGATTAAAATCAACGCAGTTAAGTGTTTCCAAGAATTCTAGTGTGAGTGGTAGCTGCTGTTGGACTAGAAGTTGTACATTCTAAGGGTTAGCCACTTTATCTGATGATCCTTGGCTTTCATACTACCTGGTCTATCCTCATGATCTACCTTGTTTGGAGGGAATCTTTGGAGGAGGGGCCCTGAGGACTGGCCCTGGCTAGATGCTGATTGCTGAAGCTCATCTCTGCCACCTCCAACCTTGATTTCCCCTCTGTGACCTGGAGGAAAGTATTTCTGCACTGTCTCCCTGCTGTTAGCATCTGCTCCAGCAGGGAGTTATCATCCCTGTCCTGGCATTTGGATAGTAGCCAAGGGGCTAGAACTATGGCTTCTGTCCTGGAGGGTAATTTTCTGGGGTTCTCAGGTTGGTAAGCAGGGACTCCTTGGTAGCATTGAAAGAGAACTCACTGCAAGTCATTAAGTCCAGCTTCTGTGGCTGAGGAACCTTTCTACCTCCACCACTGTCCTGTGAGCTTTATATTTTAAAGGACTGAGGAGGATGAGGGTGGTCATCAAGAATGTGAGGGGAGGAGGCTAGTTATTCAGACTTGCAGAGTCTCCATTAGGAATGGCCTTCCTGGTCAAGCGTTTTTCTCAGGACTTGGGGTTTATGTTTTTTGTTTTTTGTTTTTGTTTTTGTTTTTTTGCCGGTCATGGGGCCTGAACTCTGGGTCTGGGCACTGTTCCTCAGCTGTTCAGCTCAAGGCTAGAGCTCTACCACTGGAGTCACAGCACCACTTCTGGCTTTTTCTGTTTATGTGATGCTGAGGAATCGAACCCAGGGCCTCATGCTTGCAAGGCATGCACTCTACTGCTGAGCTACCTTCCCAGCCCAGAGTTTATGTTTTTTGTTTGTTTTCATGTGGTACTGGAGATGGAACCCAGAGTCAAATTGAGTTGAGCTGTCATACCACTGAGCTATATCCCCAGCCCAAGGATTGGGTCTATATGTGTGTGCCTCTGGGTTGTGGTAGGTATCCCATAAGGCTGGGAGAGTGTGGGCTAGGTCTCTGCCCTGTTTCTGCTCCCCTGGAACAGGGAAACTGTGGGTCTGAGTGAGATCCTCTGGCTGCTGAAACACAGCACCTGCAGCACAAAATGCTGTATGTGTAACTTTGACCAGCTTTGGGTTTGGCATAAAGGAGTTCCTGAGGGCCAGACCAGGTCAAGGGACCACCCGCTCTAACTCTTCCTCCTAGGAGGCAGGAAAGCTGAGGTGCCAGGAACTGGATGAAAGGATAGCTCTGGGGTAGGGTCAGGGGACAGCCAGGATCATTATTGGCAGGAAGCCCCTGTAGGGTCCAAGGAGCGGGGGAAGATGAAGCTCTTTGGGGGCTGAGAAATAAGGGTGAGTCTCCTACCCAAATCACACTGGGCATGTGCTCCTCAAAGCATTTAAGTGTGTGCACCTGCTCACCATGAGCTAGGTACTTCAGGACTGTGGCTGAGGGGTGGCTTGGGGTTTCCCTTGTTCAGGAGCAGATTCTGTGCACCTCCCCAAAAGGAATCCCTGCTCTGTAAGTCCATCCAGTATCCTCTGCTTGCTTTGTTCCATTCTAGGCCTAGTTCTCCTCACACCAGCTCCCTTCTCTTGGGCTACTCCCACTATAGCCCCTGGGGACAGTGCCATGCCAGGTCTCTCATGTTCTCTGCACTGTGTTCCAGAGCAGGACTGCCATTTCCACTGTGGATTGGTGAGCCCCAGGTGGCTATTCTGGGATGGGGATGGCCAGTCCTGTGCCTTACCATCCTGGGAGTGGGGTTGGAGGAGGGGGGTGAGATACAGACCAGGGGTACTCAGCACAAGCTGGCTGGGGCTGAGCCTGTCCTGGGCTGTGACTGGGCTAGCACAGGGCCCCGCCGCCCAGCGTTCCTGTCTGAGTGGTAATTGAAGCCATTAGCGCGCCAGCCTCTCCCTCGCCGAGTAATGGCAGGAAAAGCTCTTCTCGCTCTGCACTCTTGAGGCGGCGGCTGAATCACTCCCCCTCCAACCCGCCCGCTGCTGCCACTGAGACAGAGAATCTGACATTTTCCCTCATGAGGGAGGGGGTTGGGGGAAGGGACACAGGCCTTTCTTCTGGGCCTTTCCTTCTAAGATGTGGGGGTAGGGAGGGTCTTCAGCTCACATCTGAAGGTCATAGATTTGCCAGGGGCAGTGGGGTCTAGGCCAGGCAGAACTGTAGTCAAGAAAAGCTCCAAGAGAAGGCCAGCCAGGGATGTGGGCTCTGTCCTAGTAACTGAGTAGGTTCTGAAATTGACACTGATGAAGGAAGAAAAGGAG